CCCCCCACCACCCTCAGCCTCCCCCACCACCCTCAGCATCACCACCCCCCACCCTTACCCCCCACCACCCTCAGCATCACCCCCTCACCACCCCCACCACCCTCAGCATCAACCCCTCCTCACCATCACCCCCCTCCTTCTCACATCACCCCTCCTCACATTACCCCCTCCTCCTTCTCACATTACCCCCTCCTCCTTCTCACATTACCCCTCTCCTCCTTCTCACATTACCCACCCTCCTCCTTCTCACATTACCCACCCTCCTCCTTCTCACATTTTCCCCTCCTTTTCACATTACCCCCCCCCTCTACTCTCATTGCCCCTGCTTCTCATCCCCTCCTCCTTCACATCACCCCCTCCTTCTCACATTACCACCCCTCACTCTCACTTTACCCCCCTCTCCCTCTCACCAACACCCCCCTCTCCCTCTCACTATCACCCCCCCATACACACAACACACTTCAAGCAGCTACCCCATACACATACGGTCTCAGACAAAAATGCATGCTCACAGAGACATACATTCACATACACAAGGATACTCTCTGTCAGACACACTCTCAGGCACATACACAGGTAGACAGTGCCTCAATGTGTATATGTGACACTTTTTTGTTAGTGGGGCCTCATGTTTGAGTTTCGTCTAAGGCCTCATAAAGTCTAGAGCCGCCTCTGTATGTATATGAGATTGTGTGTGAGTATATATGAGTCTTTGTAGGGGTCTGTGTGTGTGAAGTCTGTGTGTGTGTATATAAATGTGTGATTGTGTATGAGTCTGCTTGTGTGTATATATGTCCATTTGTGTGTTTATGTATGGGTCTGTGTGTATGTATATTAATGTGTGTGTCTATGTGTGTCTGTGTGTGTGTAGATGAATGTTTGTGTGTATATGAATGTAAGTATGTATAAATATGTGTATGTGTACATGATTGTGAGTATATGTGTGTAAAGAGAGACACACAAAAAAAAATAATACTTCTGGTTTGGGGGTGGTAGTGGTGGCAAAATACATTTCTGCCCCAGGTGCCATGTAACCTAGGTATGCCTCTGGGAGTTAAATTACTTTGTTTATGCAGCTAAAATTGTTTTATTTAAGAGTGTCCCTCCTTGAAAACATTTATTAAATATTCCTTATTTTGTCTATAAGAGACTGGCCACTCATTAAAACTGCGAAGAGAAAACACTGCGGGCTGACACTCTTAAGATTCATATGTTTGTTTTATCCATATTTATTTTTTCGATATGAAGACTATATTTGTTTTAATAGAAGGCATTTCCACTCTCCATATTTACTGTTCAAAATGCTTGCAGTTATTTTCCATTTTCCATTCTAAGCTTTTTTTTTTTTTTAAATTAAAGACAATATACACATTTACTGTTCAAAAATGTTTCATTTTTTTTAACATTCTATGCAAAACTTACATATTATTATTATTTATAAAGCGCAAACAAATTCACGCAGCACTGTACATAAACCAATCATTCCATGTCATTGTGTTAAATTCAGGGCTCATGTTCAGGTGGTAATGAATTTGTACTGGTTGGATATTGAATAGTGATGTCCCAAACGGTTCGCCGAACGGTTCGCAAATGGTTCGCCACGAATGGTTCGTCACGGACTCATCATTGAGTAAACTTTGACCCTGTACCTCACAGTCAGCAGACACATTCCAGCCAATCAGCAGCAGACCCTGCCTCCCATACCCTTCCACCTCCTGGACAGTTCACTAAGAATGCAGCTTCAAAATGGATGCTGTCCAGGAGGTGGGAGGGTCTGGGAGGGAGGGTCTGCTGCTGATTGGCTGGAATGTGTCTGCTGACTGTGAGGTACAGGGTAAAAGTTTACTCAATGATGAGTCCGCAGCGAACCGTTCGTGGCGAACCGTTCGGCAAGCCGTTCGGGACATCACTAATATTGAAATCTAGCCTATACTCAAAAAGTAATAAAAAAGTAACCCTTTGTTATGTGTGAAAACAGCTTCACTGCATTGGAATCTCCCTTGTTCTAATAAAAATCTTTGCTACATGATACTTGCTGTGGGTCCATAGCATTCTATGACATCGTATATAATAATCTATTATTGTTTTTATAATTAACTTACAATTTAATTGACAGCTTTATTTTACCTTCAGAATAACACTAAATGTGAAATATTGGCCTCATGATGCAACAATACTGCTCAAATGAAACCCATTTTTCCGAGGAGCTATAGTTTTTTTTTTGTCTTACAGTAGTTTCAGATACATTGCAGAGAATGGTGGTAATGATTGGCGTTTGATCACTAAAACAGATAATGTGCAGAATTAACAATACCATTGCAAGTTCCATTGTCAATACTCCACTATTACAGGTTTAGGTAACAACCCGCTCAAGTAAAAAATCAGTGTGGATGCTTTATACTCCTTGTGGAGCTCAAATATTGAAATCAGTACACCAATGGATTTATCCACTAAATAAAGAGTTGAGGTAAGTTCATGTTAAACATCTGTCTGGGGGGAAAATAACACAGTTTTGGCTTACATTTTTCAACTTGGTTGTTTATTCACACCAGATCATTAGTTGCTGAATAAATCTTGTAATAATTTAATCATTCCATCTTAAAATATATATTTTACCCTGAGGTAAATTTATATATTGATAACTGCCTTAGTTTCAGTGACCTAAAGGCACCAATGTATATACAGACCCAGTACTACTTTTTGGGCCTGCAGCATAATGTCCATTCTTCGAATGAACTGTGTGAGCAGACGAGGAGGTCTCGGTCCTAAATATCTGTGCCTGTTTTTCACAGCAACCAAGTTTACTCATCAACACATAAAAATCTTTACGGAATGTCTTTGTAAAAATGGCGTAGAGAAAAGGATTGGCACAAGAATTAATTGGATAAAACAAAACCAGAAGAATCTTGGAATTTGATACTGTTATCAGGGGGACCTTTAGTGATGCAGAGATGGCGAAAAAGGATATCGGAGCCATACAAACAAAATCTGTAAAAATCAGAATTGCCATACGTTTGGCGATTTTGGTATCGCTGTTTGAAGAAATGACATTGGGATTCCTCACAGTGATATATATACCGATATAGCAGGTGCAAATGACCACAAATGCCAAGACATTAATAACTAACAAGAACATGATGTAAGCTTGAGCAAGTATTGTTTCTATGTCCATTGGTAAACAAATGCTGACCTTCATGTAACTACTGACTCCAATTATTGGAAGGAAAGCAACGGTGAATGAGAATATCCAGCCAGACAGCATTATCACTGAGGCATGTCGAAATCTGACTTTGCGGTCTAGTTTCATTGCATACGTGATGGTGTGCCATCTCTCCAAGGTAATTACTGTAAGTGTGTAAATCGAAAGTTCACTTGCAAACACTGTGAAGAAACCTGCTGCATTGCAGCCTGCCCCCGTTTGCCAGTCAATTGCATAATTATAATACTGACTTTTGGTTTTAATATCCACAGCAGCAATGAGCAGGAGATAAATGCCCATGCACAGATCTGCAAAAGCAAGGTTGCACATTAAAAATCTGGGTACAGTAAATTTACATTGACTTGTTGTTAATATTATGAGCACAACAGCATTTCCGGTGACAGCCAAAATATTGATACACCATATTAGCACTCGGAGTGTTGTGTATCCCATGATATCTTCACATGGATTAAACGCATCTGGTGGTGGAAAGCAAGAGACTTCCTGAACGTCATTGCACTGGAAGTAGTCTAAGACTTCTTCTTTGTCCATCTGTTCTAGTTCTGTCCCATCGCTGAAAATATAATCGTTTTGTGCAGATCTTTTGTCCATCGATTTCAAATTCTCATTCAGATATTTAGAGGTGCTGTTACATAACGGGTGCAAATCTAAACTGCAACAAGAAAATAAAAGTATGTTTCATTTCAGGACTCCTTAAACTTTATAATAAACCAGTTATAATATATAGCTATAAATGCTGAAACCTGACAAAATATATGACTTGGGTCAGTTGTGAAAACACAACTATTCTCACCATACCGGATCATCAGAAGATGAATTCTGCTAGATGTGTTCTGAAAAATGGTGCAGAGAATTTAAATGGTGCAATCACCATGCAAACCAGTGAAAGCAACAGGCACATTCTATTGGTGACTCCTACCCTTTTACATTGTCTCACTTTTCGGAACGCTACACTTCGATAAACCTCCACAGTTGAATCTCTGCTGCTGGGCTGAAAATTGCAGCTCACACACAGTAGAAGTAGAAGTAAAAATTTTAAAAGGATACTCTATGCACCAAAACAACGTCAGCTTAGTGAAGCAGTTTTATGGGGTTAATCACTAAAGTGAGAATTCAAAGTTAATTTAACGTCAATATAAAATTGGAATGTTTCCAGTTTGGCTATTTTTACATTTAACCCCTTAAGGACACATGACATGTGTGACATGTCATGATTCCCTTTTATTCCAGAAGTTTGATCCTTAAGGGGTTAATTGGAAATGCACTTCAAGTTCACTTTGAAATCTCACTTTAGTGAAAAACCCTGTTAGTGTATCATTCCCCTGCAGATTCACTACTCAAATCTAGGCCCAATTCTCTGTTAAATCACTTTTTTCTCTGTTTATGCCGTCCTAGGAACACAACCCCTAGCTGTGACTCTCACAGTCTACATGAGAAAACGGTTTCATTTCCAATCACAGTGTGTTCACTTTAGAAGTGTTTATTTTCTGCTCTGTTCATTGAACATTAATCACACAGAGGAGGCTCGTGCAGACTCTAGCATGATATTTAATTCAATTCTAAATTAAACAGACTGTGCAGTAAAGGAAGTGTAAACATTAGATGACTCTGTACAGGAAATGTGTAGGGAGACTATATAGCTCACATGCTAGAGAAACAATGATTTCATTCCTAAACGGAAGAGAATTGAGCAGTGAGACTACAGTGGCATGATCTATACACCTAAACTGCTTCATTAAGCTACATGATTCATAGTGCTTATAGTGCCCTTTTAGTGCATTATACTAACACATACCACACAACTTTGCAGCTTGATGAATTGGAACTGAGGTGGTTTTTCTAAGAGGCGACTTGCTCCCTAGTTGATGCCCAAAATGAGTGGGCTGCAGGTCTGCCCATTGAAGGCTCAAATACAGCCTCCCAGCCATCCCCCTACATAGAGGACCATGCAGTGAGCACTGCTGAAGCACTATCTGCATGGTCCTAGAGCCCACTACACATCACAAGCATGGTTCTACCTGAGATCCCACCTCTGGTGGCACACTAGATTAAATCAGCAGAATTTTCTAAAAAAGAAAGCTGCATTGCAGCAAATGCACCAGGATCCTTTCAAACACCCAAAAACTTGATTATTAGCCATGTATTGTTTTTGTCACACCTACTGTATGTACCAAAAATGTCATTTTTGCTTCTGTCCTAATATATTAAATGGTGCAAGAAAAAAAATTAACCCCATCCCAACATTTTTGCAAAGGATAAACAAATAAAACATTTAAAATTGTCTACATTTACATTATGATAATTTTACTGTATCTTTGAACAACATTGTATACACAAAATTGCCGTTTCATCTCATTTTTTAACTAGATAGGTATGTCATGTTTTATATACAGTAAATATGATTGCAATATTTTTACTTAAAAAAGTATTTGGCAGTGAAGTAGTTAACAGACAATGTGCTTTGTTCCATGCTTGTCCTAATCATTTAAAAGCCAGTTGGTAATCATTAAAGTGGCTGTCTACTGCTAATGATTACGGACTGATTCCATTGTACAAAACTTGTAACATTTAACAACTACTAATTAGCTGCTGCTGTAAGTTTTAATTTCTCCCATAGAGATTAATAAGAGACACTAAGTGGTAAGCATCAACCGGTTTCTGTGTTAGATGATAAAATAATTCACCTGTCATCTCACCTAAGTGTTAAGAAGGAAATGACAAGTCAAAGACTGCAAACTTTCAAAAACCCTAAAAAAAAAAAAATACATGTATTTACTATTTAAGTACATTTAAGCACTAAATTAATTGATTATGAGGATTTATTATGGGGATGTAGTATATGCACCTGCACCGCACACTCACCTTTATAAACTTACTACATTGTATAACTAGTTTTGCCGCTTTGTGCTACAATGTAATTACATAACCCACCATTGTGACATGTTAAAAAAAAGCTAAACTGGCTGTTGCTGGAATCCAGACGCACCCTTCATCTTTCCAGCCTTGTGTTTAAGAGCTTTTCTGAGAAGCTCCCACCCTACCTGAGTAGAATGCTCTCCCTGGCTGTTTCCACCTCCGATAACCTCCGATCCAGTATCAGCACTTTATTTAGTCTACCTCAATACAAAAAGAAAGCAGCCCGATCCTCCTGTGATAGACCTCTCTGTCTTTGGATTATTACCATTTCACCGTGATTCGTCTGTTTGTTTGGTATTTACACTTTGTCCGTATGGCCCTGCTTTTATTTGTCTAAATACAAATAAACTACCGAGCGGCCGGCCACCCAGCAGGGAAGTGTGCTGCTCATTAACCTTTCTGCCCTCATTAACATCGTGGTTAACCGCAGACACATCCAACTCCCGAACGGTCGGCTGGGTGGTAGTCGTTTGTATGAACAAACACGTGGCGGCGGTCATCTTGGACAGTCGAATGCCCAGCAGTGTTCGTCGACAAACTTGTGGAACTAATATCGGACACTATTTCCCACGAACACCCCTGAAACCGCCAACCCTTCCTTGTTATGTTCCAGGTTCATATGAACGCCGTGCTGTTCGGTACATTGACTA